GATTCTGGCACAGATGGTAACTGCGCATCGATCTACGAAGTAAGTTTCTTCGGGTTTCTCTCATGTATGCCGACTACTTGCTGTGTTGCCTTTTGCTGTGTTATACATGATGAGCATTTCATGAGATCTACTGATAATATATACCCTGCCACAATAGCCCGGCCGAGAACTGCGCTATTGCGCATACACATCCTTGGCATTTTTTTTTGCTAATAATACCAATACTAGGAGGAGTAAGTCATCCATTATTAGGGTGTAGTTAAAAGCTTCTTTAATCAATTCGTTGTGTGAATTCCAAAATATACCTTATTTATTACCAGTGGCGTGCATACATTAGCGTAGATCGCACCCCTGTTGTCGCACCAGGGTAGGAAGAAAGAAACAAAAAGGGGCACAATCCTGGTCAATTTCCGAGGTTTTATTGTCAGTGTTCCAACCGTTTCTGATTCTACGCACCCATCCCAATCCTACGAAAGGAATTCCTCCCTTGTCCTATTATTGTTCCCAGGCTCTTCTTAATTTAGGATAAAGAATCTACTGATCAATTTTTTTTTTTAGTTCTGGTTGAAGTACGTAGGGACTCTGTAATCTCAGAGGTTCAGAACTCGCAATTTGAGCCATTGATGTCATCAAGCAAGCTCGCTACATCTGGAACATAGTGGTTGCAATATTATGATTATAATCATCATTCACTAGGGATGAGGGAAATTGACTGATGATACTTCATTGTCCCCTGAATTAAACCCCGTCTATTGCAGGCTAGATCGCGAAGATCGCGAAGATTGCGAAGAGCAATACAACAATTGATAAGCACGGAGCATCCACTCCTTGCTATGCAGCAGTCAATGCCTTCTCTCTGAACCTGTTTCATTATTCCATGGCCTCTCTATAGCCTCTATCTTGGCACACATTCCATTCAAGTTTTTTCAACCCATAAAATCATACAGTCAAGTGCATTGACTCTCACTCTGGCACAGTGCGATGGTCCTTTGCGATTAGCCCTAGCGTCAATAATCCAGAACAAGCAAAAACCGAAAACCGAAAACGGAAGAGAAAGACAATTAATGTACAACGTTGCACCCAAGGCCCCCACAATTGCGAAGATCATACAAAAAGCACACCCAAATTGCGCGTGTTGCGTGCAGAGTACATTTTTCCAATACCCTATGGGGAGATGAGCCAACCATGTGATCGACACGGGTCGGCCCTTAGTCTTAACACGCTCGCACATGGGAGTTTCCAATCTCATGGGCCGTAGACCCTACAGACAGCAAAAAAAAAAGGTTCCAACTCTGGCAGTACGTGCATAGCTTATGTCACCCTTGAACCTGTGCATCATCTAGTTCTGCAGGAACAAGGCTTCTGGTGCCGACACTTTAAGCCCTTGTGATTTTGATCTCGTGATATCGATTTCTGCAAGCATCCGGCTATTTGTGCGAACACTTGATATTAATAATATGGCCGGGTTCCCAGGCTCCGAGGCTGGAATTATAGCCGTGGTGGCTAGAATCTCACAGGTCTATGGAACATGCCGATCATTACTGAGATAGCACTATTTAGGTGATCGGCGGATACGGGGCCCTGATGCAGGTGATCGGGGTTGGACGCGTTTGCGCCCTCGGCAACCCTACATGTGTGTTGATCATGTTCCTTTCCCCCGGGATTACAGATGCCACGAGTGCTACCGTAGCATTGGGATTTGGCCATGAGGCTATGATTCTAGAAAAAAAAAGCAAGTATTCTAATTATGCAATCATTGCTTTAGTGGTACTTTGCTTCCAAGATTCGCATGTGGCTTTTTCCTACTCATGTGGGCAAGGGACACTGGGGCCCGATTACCTGTTGAGCGCCTTATAGTGGATAATATGTGTCTGGACTTGAATAGCTTCCCTTTGTAATTCGACCAAGAGAAGCCTTGATTGATCTGTCGTATTGTACGGGATGTAACATGAGGATGATCTGAAACGGAACAAAATGTGGACATTCTTGGTAAACAGTGGACTGTGATTGGTCCTTTATTTGATCTCTATACACAAATCTGCTTTTATATGCATTCACAAGAAATCTATGCGACAAAACGAAGTAAGAAAAAACAAAAAGGAAGATAGCCCCCGATTTAGGCTTGTTGCCAATGCGTGCCAAAGAACTCCTCGCTGTAATGTCACATGCCCAAAAGTCTAGGGAAACAAAAGATACTTGTAAGAATGAAGAATAAGATCACACAAAAGAAAAGGAAAAAAAAAGGAATGCGAAGTCGTGCCTGCGGAGGCATTGGTGCTGAGTGTCAAAAGTTCGAACCAAGGTAGTCTCATCCAAGGGAAAAAAGATTGAAAGACAGAGAGACGCAGTTCATGCCATTCGTGCAGTCACTCGAGATCCTCGACGACGTTTTAAATCGTCTCGGCTAAGGAGTCTGCGTAGCTTAGAAACAAATCGACGTGGTCGACCATCTAGGAGAATGTTAGAACTAAACGCAACCGAAGAAAAAAAAGAAGATTAAGCTGACCACTGGTGCGACGAATGGGCACAGAGGATTCTTCGATAGGCTGTATCGTGTACGCCGCAGCCCAAAATCCCGTGTCATGGTAACCGGTGAATGTGCAGCTGTCGGGATTGTATTGTGGCTGCAGAGCCGCGACATGCGGGTAGAGTTTTGCTAACGGTGAGAGAAGCTCCTCTGACGGGGGTAACCGTCTGCTGTCGATGCTTCCTCGAGACTGGAAATTTCAAGTCAGATTGACTGGCCAAAGTAATGCATCCATGTGGTTTACTCACATAAAGCTCATAGTTGGTCTTGTATCCCATGGTGGGCAGTGAGTAAGTAGTAGGGTAGATGTTGCGGTGTGTTGAAGTGGTATTGTAAAACTCTTGAAGTCTCAAATGCAAGATAATAACTTGATCAAGAGACCTGAGAACTCTTCAAATCCGCGTGTGTTGAGATGCAGATTTGATCGGAAGCGAACCAGCCTGCATTTAAATAAGGACTTGGAGATGCTCAGCCGCAACAACTTGAAAGCGGGGAGATTAGTCGTCAAGCTGATCCGCATCTAGAATCCTAGATTGTTTTGTTGTTTTTTTTTTATTTTTATTTTTATATAGATAGGATTTTGTTACACCCGGGTAGTCGGGTTTTCAAACCTAGATGAGCTTGCATCGCGTCCTTCTCATTGGATGAGATGGGGGGGGGGCGCCGAGCTGTCGGGGTCCCCGATGTGGACAAGTCTCTCGATACGAGGACTCGCGTGAACTTGGATCATCCCTGCAGATACCACGAATTGGGTCATCTCGTTCTACTCTACCCCTTGCATTCTTTTTTTGTTCTTTTTTTTTCCCACGTTTTTGCTTTATTTTTAATTTTTCCTTTATGTTGCAACAATTCTCGCAGATCCATGGATTCCAAATGTGATATGAGATCCATCCCCGAACAGATCCGTATCCTACCTCTTTCGGCAAAAGAAGAAAAATTAGAATGTCTCATAATTTGGAGTTGTGGACCTTGAAGTGTCAGCATTGTCATACAGGTCGCGGGGCTACCCTAAGTATGCATATTAGAAGACTGAACACTAAAATTTCTCGGAGACATGAGATCATTGATCTTCGGCTAGTAGGGCTTCCAAATCATTTTAGGGTGATGTATGTTGTAGGGTGAGATAGTTCAAATGACTAGCCCCGAATGTGTTGGAACTATTGAGATGCTACTCCGTAAGAGATCCAGATCGACCATGTGGGCTTCCTAATGAAGACTAGTGAGTAATTCTATTGTCGGGTCGAAACACAGCCACACACCCCTTGCTACTTGAGGATAAGCGCACGAGCCACATCCTCGGTCACACCGTGGCTCACCGTGGCTAGTGATGATTTCTGTGGCTCAAGCTTGCTTTTCTACGATCGCTTTCCAGATCCACCCCACCCTGGCTTCACCCCCGAAACCCGGACTAGCCCGCCCTTGATCTTCACAAGTTATCGATTTTAGGCTCCCTGGATGGCTTGGTCTTCCCTGTCCGCGCTGGGTCGCGGAGCTAAAAGGCGTTCGCCTCCCCTAGAATAATAGACTATTCCAACTCAAAGTCTCAATCCACCTCCAGTTTCAAACATCTTTCATTTTCGCATACTATCAAAAAGCACATGTCACCTGTCGAACATGTCACTGAGCATGCAGGGTTCTGGAAGAGAATGTTGGGAAACCCCTCAGCGTATGAATATGCGCGATCCTTATTCTCGCGAACAGCTCGCTCAAAGTGAGTTCCTGCTTCCCTCTCGTTTGCCTCTCTTCCCGTCTTGCCTATCGCACCGGTTACGCAACGACCAAAATTCTGAGATTTTTTGGCCCTTTTTTCCAGGATCCGTCGAACAAGGCGCTGAATGCATTTCGGATAGGCGCCAGTGCTTTCATGAAGAGGATGTAATCAATCCAGAGGCTCAGTCGGTGTTGAACGGGGCTGAATTTGGTCGCATGGACCCCACGGGCTGGTTCTCACACTACAAGAATTGTGTTCAGCACTTTGTCGACATTAGCCAGCACACATCTCAAGTGCAGTCTATTGCCGCGTTCATCAATATTCGACTCCCCTGCCAGCGACCTTCTGAGTCTAGCGCGCCGATGTCTGAATCCCGACCATCATCCTTTGTTTCACTACGTCCATACATTAGACGATTGATTGTCACGGCACAGGACTCGCCGACTGTCATTCAAGGCTTCTTCGGTGGGGATTGGGAGGCCGGCGTGGGCTGTATCTACAAACAAGAGCGGGTGAACTATCTGTTCACAGCTAAGAGCAGTGGGTGGGTATCCACCAAGGCCGCCTACGACATTTCGCCCGATGAAGAGACACCCTTCTTGAGGCCCCTGCGTGACCCCTCGGAGGATGAGATTCGAGTAGCCGAGGCGCGGTGGAGCGAGTGGCTGGCAATGGAAGATTGGATGGTCGGAGCGCGCAGTCCCTGGTAGGATACGGCGGTGATGAGACACGAATTTTCTTCTTTTTCTTTTTTTTTTCTTCTCTCTTCTTTTCGTTTTCTCCCAAGTTGTTCGTTCCCTAAAAAGATTTCCAGTGCTTGTGGTGTCATATCACAGTGGAGTGTAATGTGAAGGCTGTTCTAATATTTGTTGAAACCCTCCGTGCCCTACATCGCCAAAGTTTTCACTTAGCAACTAAGCCATTCAAATCATTATCAGCACGTCGCAAAGACAAACGTTGAAAATCCTTTGATTTCTTTCAGCCCATCCGCGGGTCCCGCTTCATGATCGATAGTGCCGCGCCGCCACAGTTCCAGACCAGTGGCAAATGCTCTTAAGCGACTGGAGATTCAGTAAAGCGTCATCCTTCATACGCCCGTGTGCCCGTGTATTATTAACCGAATTTTCTCAAGTTAGATAACTAGCCAGACTTGGCTAGGCACCATGTAGCCATGTTGTAGGGATCCACTAGTCTCTGACTCACCCCCGTCACGGCCAGGTGTCAACCTGTCACTTTCTGAATAAATCGATCACTAGTCTCCTCTACACACCGTACAAACTTGTGATTTGAGGATCCTCGTCATCACCCCGTGTAGAAATCGACCCCTGAATCCAGGTACCCGGGAACCCGACACATCCACGATCGACATGGCGATCTACATCTATGAACACGATGCAGCCACAACAATACCGGTACTCATCTCTGAACTACCGTATTCCACGACTCTGCTCCGGCGAATCCAACATGGCATCGCTTATCCACATGAGACCGCCCACCTACTGGCAACTTTTCCGCCCGGATTCCCCCCCGGGGCTGGACAGCCGTGGCTGGCTGCGCGAGTGGATCTTTTCTCCGGCCGCACAACCCAAATGATCATTTACTCCAGCCTCGAAGCGGAGCACACGTCAATTTCGCCGATCGTCACGATCGATAGTACTAGAGCCACTACATCGGAGAGATTAAATGTGGACACTGCAGGGTCCAATCAAAATGAAACCACCGATCATGATGCCGACACCGAGACCATCATTTCCACCTTTTCTGCCAACCCACCCATCTTAGCCGTGGCCCGCGCGCAGCTACTTGCCTTGCTTTCTTACGTCAAGACCAACCTGTTGCCATCCTACCTGTCATATTTGGAAAAATTAGCCCAAGCCACATCTACGGAAGCTGAAACCCTTCCCGTATCATTGTCCTCGACCCCAAACAACACCAGTCCCACTGCCAATAATAGTAGTGTTCCACTGATCCCTGCGCCCGATCCACAGGCTTTCCTTATTGGGAGCCTTCATACAGGTCTATTCTCTCTCCTACAGCGATCGGGATCTTACACCCTATCTGACTCGATACCCAAGATCCGGGTCCATCGCTTCGATGATCCACCTTATTATAAGTACTTTTTCCGGAGATCTGAATTCAGCCCCGAGGCAGAGTCTGGACGATCTGCCGATCTGCCGTCCGCCGATCTTTCCCTCCCATCCGGATATAGATTCCGGGACCGAAAGGGGAGGGAGGGTGTTCTGAGTACCCATCTGGATCTTGTGCAAAGTCGGACACACATCCCCAGGCCAAGGACACAGCTATCCACAATGCCCAGCGTGGCTGTTTATTTTGATGCCGGGTCCTGTGATTCGGAAGAAGTGCCTATTGCATGGGGATTCTTGGGTGTGGATGGCGCGTTGGCGACATTACATGTTGAACCGGAGCATCGGGGTCGCGGGATTGCAGTTCCATTGTCTAAGGCTATCATGCGTCGTGGGATGTCAGCAGATGGTGTTTTTGGAGCTGGAAGTGTCAAGTCCGAGGATAGTGAGGTTCGAGAGCGTGTTGGCGCTTGGGCGCATACTGAGGTGGCTGGGTATAACACGGCCAGTCAGAGGGTTATGGAAAAGATGGGGGGTCAGATTTTGACAACTGTCACCTGGACTGTTGTTGAACTGCTTGATTAAAGGGGTTAATCTCCTTAGTGTGATGTCTCCAGGAACAGAATCTACATGGCTGTTACGGTTGGGTATTTTTACGCTTGTAGCTGAGATATTTGAGGCATTTTACAATGTGCAACCAAGGAGTACAAGCTGCTTTGAATTTCTCATGGCGATGGATCTGTAAATTGCCTCTTCCTTATCTCAAGCAAAGTCCATGCAGGGTTGACATCCCTTGGGCAACTGTCCCGGCAAAGGACATGGAATCGCCACCCTCGTTGAAAACCTTGTACAGCATGATGCCCTTCTTCATTCAGATTCGGACGAGGAAACGTCCTCTACACTTTAGTTGTCGCTTTTGGTCAAGTCAGCCGAGGGCTGTAGTCTTATGTCTCCATTCACTTGAGTGCTTCAGAGATGCTCTTCTGCCAGTGCAGCGTATGTATAACACATTCAGATGCTTGCACTGTAAACCTAGAACAACGTGACAAATGGAAAAGAGGCGAGTGCAGTAAATCCAGGGACGGCCACACCCCAGTGGATCCCAATAGCCTGCATAGATTCCACAAGTTTTGTGGGCCGCAGCAACCATCAGTAGAAACCGTGAATCCGGTGTAAGAAAGAAGATAAATTAAAACGACCGAAGAACTCGGCGATGGAAGCCCGTAGAAACAATCTCACGGGATATCCGCGGACTAGGGGCGATGGACCCGAAATAATGACAACATGTCTGATCCAGCGAGTAGCGAGCTAATGGTGCCCGGGTATGCAGACGAGGCAAGGGCAACGTAAAGTATCATGGTTGCGACCAATGCCGTGGTACTCCATCATAGGACCTCGCTATATAATCCTAAGGAGTTTGGAGCTCGTTCTCTGGCTACTTGACGATTTATGGGTCAAATGATATGCCGCTACCATGATAAGGAAAGACAATGATCGCTTGGAAATCCGTCTCGTCAAGACGGATTTATGGGATTTACACTGGCTGTGAAGCGTCTTACTAGATGTGGTGAGTTCCATTTAAAGCCAGCCGCTGTGATACGATATGCTCCATACATATAACTAGAACGGGTCAAGGCGATATATAGAGGAAGACATGATGTACTTCCCACCGTGAAAATCTGAACCAATGGCCGTGTCGGTTACAGCATCGTGGCCAAAGAGGACTAGACAGATTGATTTGGAGAGGTTAGATGCTAAATCCCTAATGGTAAGGTTCACAAACGGTGAACATAGCTTAGACATCCTCCAGGAGTATGATACCTTTCACAAAGCAACTCTATATATTTGATCTCATTTCCGGGTGTCATATGAATACGGCGGAGTCTGGATCAAAGCTATAAATATCGATTGGCTTCATAGCGTAGATCGTTGCTCTCTTCTGAAGTACTGGTTAGTATCAGCTCCGGATACATCTCCACTAAGTTAAGAATCTACGAAAGTGACAAGGTTGTCCCTGCGGCGTGTTGGTCATGGAGAACACTTGCTGGGTACGTGTATATATCACCCCGAGGTAAGAATCCAACCGAGCAGCGCGTGCTGTGGATTCTTTATTTCGCGCAATGATATCGATTGATTCCGAAAACTTGCTTGCCAGTAGGACCGTATAGATAAGCTGTCGCCAGTTTAAAGCAGTCCATGTACGCATATACCATGATCTCGCCATGGCACGTTTTCTGTAGTCTTCCACATGTGCCAGGCAATCGAACATGATGGCTACCCTGCCATCCACTCCAACGAGCAATCCAGCCGATCAATCAGCAATGCATCGGCGCAGTCCTTGCACGATACTTCCAACCAGATCCAAGCTCCTTTCCAACCCCCTGGAGACTTTGGCTTCTTGGCCTACTGATGATTTTTTTTTTAGATAACACCGATATCGGCCTGACTTCATGCTAGGATCTCTCAAAAACCGGGTCTATTCAGAAAGTGTAAATACACATATGAGCCAATATACCTTTCAGACGTTCTATCCAACAAAGGATAGTTTGAATGTGGGAAGCGTTAGTGGAATGTCCAAAACCTGTCCCAAAAATGTTGGGGAACTATCCGATGTCAGATGGTGACTCATAGTAAACAGTGTCCCCAGATAATCCTAACTTGGTTTAGCGGATGATCGGTTGCCGATATTCCACGAGATGTAGGGGGAACTTCACTACGGATTCTTTTGTTTCCTCTCATTTCCAAGCCATTGACCAATTTCCGTTCAAAAATGAGTAACCCCAAAGGCGTCGCTGAGAACATGCTCTGGGGAGGTCGCTTCACCCGTGAGTACAATAACCCCTCCCATACCACCAAAACCCCACTGACTCATACCAAAAAAACTCCAGAGGGCCTTGATCCCCTCATGGTGCAGTACAATACATCGCTCCCCTACGATCGCGTGTTCTGGAAGCAGGATATTGCTGGCTCAATTGCCTTCGCTCGCGCCAACACCAAGTCTGGTATCCTCACACCACAAGAGTTCGCCGAGATCGAGCGTGGGTTCAAGCAGATCGCCCAGGAATGGCAAACAAACACTTTTGTGGCCAAGGAGAATGACGAGGACATCCACACCGCCAACGAGCGCCGTCTGGGCGAGATCATTGGCAAGGATATCGGCGGCAAGCTGCACACCGGTCGCTCGCGTAATGAGCAGATTGCCACGGACATGCGCTTGTGGCTCCGCGATGAGCTCCGTTTGATCGAGAGCCACCTCATCGATCTGATCAAGGTCTCCATTGCCCGCGCGGAGAACGATATCGCTTATCTCATGCCCGGCTACACCCACTTGCAGAAGGCTCAGCCCGTCCGCTGGTCCCACTGGATCCTGTCGCACGCCACTGCCTTCGCTAGCGAGCTGGAGCGTCTGCGTGAGGTGATCCGTCGCGTCAACAAGAGCCCCCTCGGCACTGGTGCCCTTGCCGGTAACTGCTTCAACATTGATCGTGAGGCTATGGCCAAAGAGCTTGGCTTCGATGGTTTGCTGTACAACTCCATGAACGCGGTTGCGGACCGCGATTTTGCCATGGAGACCATGCAGTGGGGCAGCTCATTCATGCTCAAGATTTCCCGCTGGGCCGAGGATCTGATCATCTACAGCAGTCTGGAGTTCGGCTTTGTCCGTCTGTCGGATGCCTACTCGACTGGGTCGTCACTGATGCCCCAGAAGAAGAACGCAGGCAAGTTTGAACCCCATCTCCGCAAGTTGATGCAGCATACTAATGACGGTTCCGCATTTTAGACAGCCTGGAGCTGCTCCGCGGCAAGTCTGGTCGTGCCTTCGGCCAGATGGCTGGCTTGATGTGCACAATCAAGGGCCTGCCCACTACCTACAACAAGGATTTGCAGGAGAGTGTTGAGCCCATGCTCGACCACGTCAAGACTGTCAGCGACAGCATTCAGATTGCAACCGGTGTGCTTTCGACCCTCACCGTCATCCCTGAGAAGATGATTGCTGCCCTCGCCCCGGAGATGCTGGCGACCGAAATTGCCGACTACCTTGTCCGCAAGGGCGTGCCTTTCCGCGAGGGACACCACATCTCGGGCCGCGTCGTTGCTCTGGCCGAGAACACCAATGTTCCCATGGACACGCTCTCTCTGAAGCAGCTCCAGGAAGTCGACGCTCGCTTCGACGCTGATGTCCAGGCTTGCCTTGACTATGAGCGTGCCGTCGAGCTGAAGGATGCTATTGGCGGAACCAGCAAGCGTGCAGTCCTCGAGCAGACCGCCGTGCTGAAGAATTTACTGTAAGATCTTTTAGGATACGATATATGACAGAAACCTACTTTTCGGCTTTCGGTTAGACAAAAATGAATATATGATTTGACTTGTTTAGGTGTCTTCCAATAATTAAAAGGGTCAAACCATGTTGTGCTAACAAAAGGAGGGATATTATACAACATACCTATCGGGCCATCGTTCAAATCTCATCAAAACTCTCACGTCGGGACTCCAACCCAAACATCGAAACAACCAGCAACAAGCCACCTAAAACCAAAACAACCCCAAAAGCAACCCTTCAAGTCCCTGATCTCGGGCTCATACACATCCTTCCAGACGGAGACTTGAGGTCGGGTCCAGGAGCGCCCTCTTTCACCTCATAAGCAGGCGGGACGTCAACATTACTCTCCGCAGCCGCAATGTCATCTTCCAAGCTGCGCTCCACAGGCTTGGGCCGCGACCCGGACGCACTTCTCCGGCGTGCCTGAGGACTGGAAGTATAATCACTTATTGCGATTCCAAGCCCATTCCCTAAGCCCCGGTCCTCCGGCCTCCCGGCATACTGCATGAAACTCATAACATGATCTGTCCTACCGCGCTCGGCCGTCCTTCCCCTTTCATTCTGGGCCTGAGACTCTCCAGTTTCCATGCTATTGGAGTATCGATCTAGATTCGCACCTAGGACAACTCCCTCGGCAGTGATGAGTCGTCCAGTTTGGTTTCTCCCCGGACTACCGCCGTTGCTATTGCTATGGCTGTGGCTGCTGCCGTTTCTTGCTGAGCCTGCATGTGAACTGGCTATAGGCGCCAAGGCGGGAGATTCCCAAGCCCGCAGACTATTTATCGACTGGGAATGATTCTGCTGTCGCTGTCGTTGCTCTATGGGTACGTTGATCAGCTCGCTCTGGGAGTGAGATGCTAGCTCAGCACGCAGACGATGGAAGCCCGTGTCTGGTAGCTCTGGGGTAAATCCTCGGCGAGGAGGGACCGAAGCGAAGAGCTCGGTTGAGTGCGGTTGTGTTGGCGGGACAGGGGGTGTTTTGTGGGGAGAATATGGGATGAGGCTCGTTGAGGATGGCCCTAATGCTAGGTCTGGGGTGAGCATTATGCTTGCTTGTGTGCTATCTGTGGTGAATGGAGACACTGTGCTCAATGAGTCTAATGTTAATGCAATGTCTAGTATCAGTAAAATGTTATAGTTGCCTCAATGGCAAGGTGATAATGGACGAATTCGTGCTTACTATGTGTTTCGTAGTCTGATGGCGATAGGGGCGCTTTCATTTCGGATGATGTTACTCGATCTTTCCGCGTAAATCTGGATGGGTACCATGTGACGAAAGTCAAACCCTTTCCGCGTTTCCCATACTCCCTCTTGCGGCGACAGCAACAGAAAAGTAGGACGATACATAAAATCAAGACTGCAATCCCTCCAACAACACCGCCGATGATTGCGCCCAGGTTTGAGGATGCGGCTTTTGGGTTGCTGAATGAGGTACTGGATGGAGACGCACTAGCGGCCAGAATCGAGGACAACGCAGTAGCACCTGTAGGTTCTATGGCCATGGTTGTGTCAGTATTGAAAGACACTTTCGAAGCCGTGAGTGTAACTCGGGATGTGAATGTCTCTGAAGCCGTGGGAGTCTCCGAACCTGCTGATGTTTCTGAAGTAATAGAAGCTGCCAAAGAAGCCGTAATGGCCGTCGAAGTCGGATCCGTGGATACCGACAAAGTGGATGTAGAGGAAACAGTAGTGGTTCTCGGCGACAGGTTGGGCAACAAGCCAATGACCCCAGCTGTGGTCAATGATAGTGTGTCGTCTTCATCATCGTCCGGACAAATGCCCGAAGTGCACGGATTACTTGAGCAGCATCCACGGAAGTTGCCTGCCGTGCAGACATACCACTGCGCAGTCCCAGAGCAAGTATTAAGGTCTCGAGGGACACGAGACCCGTAGGACTCAGGAGACTCCATTTCGAACACCATCCTCACGATCAAGTTTCATTCATAGAATCCGAAAAGAACTCGATCGAATCGCAAGACACGGCAGTTACGCTGAGTGTCACAAGCTTGAACGACTGGAAGCGAGATGTCTCGTCCTTTCAACAAGATTTAAGAATCTAATAGTAGAAATGACGACAGAGGTCAAATGGGTCATTCATTATTATCTATGGAACGGAGATCAAGACCATGTCCCTGAAAGAAAGGGGCCCTTTGTTAGTGTTGGTGCAGGGTGGTAATGACATGTCACATAGATCGTCGTATTTCTGTCACCAATGGGCTTCACCCACCCAATGCTGGTTTCTATTTAGCTGTGAGGCTCCTTGGCTCTTTGACGAGACACGGTTTAGATGATTCTGTGGTAAATGATCGCAGAATCTAGCGAATTAGAAAGTTATCAGTCACAGATCAATCAAGGCTCGAAATGAGACTCGAAGGGGCTGGTGTTGGGTGTCTTTGTCAACAAGCCAGGGTTCAACCGGAGTTTTGGCCAAATTCGACAAAGAGAGAGAATTTGAATACGGGACAAGGAAAAAAAAAACTACAATACCTATCAGGGGTACAGGAAAACATTAAGAAGATAAATCAAATCATATGAGACAAACTGAGGGGGAAAGTACTCAGCACACCAACTCTTCGCCTGTTGAGATAGAAGGAAAAAAATATGGCTATACATGATGGTAAGTAACACAGTCAACAAAAAAAAAAGGTCTTTTTCATAGATATTTCCCCTTGAAACGGGGCCTTGTGACGCCACAAGCCCTAGCTCTACCTCAAAACCGCGAGGCAGGGAGAGGGCGTCGATAGGGTCCATCTGAAACAACTCCGTGGTATCCTCGGTACTCTCTGCGGGTCGATTCAAAAATAGCGAGCTTAGTAGGTACGCTTGAAAGGAGGGACGGGCTTGCACTCCGACTCATCCAAGGTGTTAGCCTCAACGGCACGGTAACTCAGCTTGACCTCGCCGTGAGGCTTCTTCTGCCAGGAGAGTGTGTGCTTCATCCAGTTCTCATCATCACGGTCGGGGTAGTCCTCGCGGGCGTGAGCACCACGAGACTCCTTGCGAGCGGCAGCAGAAGCAGCGGTTTGGGTACTGTGGATTTGGGTTAGCAAGCAATCCTAATTAAATTATTCCGAGGTCACGTACGCGCAAGTCAACAGGTTGCGGAGCTCAAGGGTCTCCACCAAGTCGGAGTTCCAGATCATGCTGCGGTCCTTGGTGCCAACCTGGGCGTACAACTGATCAACCTTGTTGACCTTCTCGACACCCTCGTCCAAGCTCTCCTGGGTACGGAAGACGCTGACATCGGTCTGCATAGTCCTCTGCATGGCGTTGCGGATTTCGAATGTCGACTTAGGGCCATCAGCGGTACGGGCAAAGTCGAGGTCCTTGATGGACTGGGCACCAGCATCGGAAGAAAGCTCCTTGTGGGGCTTGCCAGGGGAGGCGGTGTCACGAACGCGGTGAGACACAGCACGACCGAAGACAATCAGATCAAGCAGGGAGTTGGCACCCAGACGGTTAGCACCGTGGACAGACACACAGGCGGCCTCACCGCAGGCGTACAGACCTGGGACAACCTTCTCTTGACCGTTCTCATCCACATCCAGGACCTCACCAGTGTACTTGGTAGGGATACCACCCATGTTGTAGTGGACGGTGGGCAGGACAGGAATGGGCTGCTTGGTGACATCAACACCAGCGAAAATCGAGGCAGTCTCGGAGATACCGGGCAGACGCTCGTGGAGGAGCTCAGCGGGCAAGTGGCTAAGCTGGAGGTAGATGTGGTCCTTCTCGGGTCCCACACCACGGCCCTCACGGATCTCCAGAGTCATGGAGCGGGAGACGACGTCACGGGATGCAAGATCCTTGGCGGTAGGAGCGTAACGCTCCATGAAACGCTCTCCCTCGGAGTTGAGCAGGTAACCACCCTCACCTCGGGATCCTTCGGTGATCAGGCAGCCGGCACCGTAAATACCAGTAGGGTGGAACTGAACGAATTCAAGATCCTGGTTAGGGAGACCAGCACGAGCAACCATAGCCATACCGTCACCAGTGCAAGTGTGAGCGGAGGTACAGGAGAAGTAGGCACGCCCGTAACCACCGGTGGCAAGAACAGTGTGGTGGGCCTTGAAGCGGTGCAGAGTACCATCCTCCTGGTTGTATGCGATGACACCACGGCACTCACCATCCTCCATCAGCAGGTCGAGGGCGAAATATTCGATGAAGTAGTTGGTGTTGTGGCGGAGAGACTGTCCGTAGAGGGTGTGCAGAAGGGCGTGGCCAGTACGGTCGGCTGCGGCGGCACAACGGTAAGCCTGGCCACCTTTGCCGAAATCCTTGGACTGACCACCGAAAGCACGCTGGTAAATACGCCCATCCTCAGTACGCGAGAAGGGGCAACCGTAGCCTTCAAGCTCGCGAACACTGGCCGGAGCCTCGCGGGTCATGTAGTGGATGGCATCTTGGTCACCAAGCCAATCAGAGCCCTTCACGGTATCGTACATGTGCCATCTCCAGTCATCCTCGTGCATGCTAAACCTCAGTTAGACTCAATTCGTTACCTTTCAGTGCGTTGGGGTTGAACCTACTTTCCGAGAGCAGCGTTGATACCACCCTGGGCAGCGACAGTGTGACTTCTCGTAGGGAACAGCTTGGAAACACACGCAGTCTTGAATCCAGCCTCTGCGAGACCGAAAGCAGCGCGCAGACCAGCACCGCCGGCACCAACAACGAGCGCATCGTACTCGTGATCCTGCGCAAGTTAGACCAATTTAACTTCCTGTCGACCTAGAGAGCAGTGCTGCCTTACAATGATAGGGTACTTGTCGGTCAGGTAGCCATTGGACTCCTTGGCGCGTAAAGGCTGGTTAGACCATATGCGGGCTGGCGCAGTAGTAATTAGCGGTGCGTTCGTGAGTTGACTGTTCGAGTGGTCCAATGCGTACCTGCGGGCCTTGAAGACGAGAAAAGACGTCTCTGGTCCCTCAAAATGCGGGAAACCTGGAGAGACAAATGTATGAGCATGTCACGGGTGTCGCGAATGGGCTGAAAATCATTGCATGGCTACTCACCTTGGATGCAGGAGCTAGGCTCCGCAGGCTCATGGAGCTCATGATGGTGGATCAAAAGAGATTTGTATTTCCCTAATGAACCAAAATAATCGCAGAACACCGGGTGTCGGTGAAGGGCTTCGCAAAGAGGGGAGAGTGTGGAATAGTGAACTCCTTCCAAGGCAACACTTTCATCTGGACTCAGGTTGCGGTTGGCAGTTTCACGCTGACATAATCATTCTCGCAGTTGCCGACGGGGAGGATCGGGGCCGAAACAGCCAATCAGCGGCTGCTCAATGAAAATCAACCTCGGGCAGCCGGCCGTCAGTGATTGGCCAGATGGCACGTGCCCACAATTCATTTTGCCGGCCAGCATGGGCTGCCGGAAGGATACGGTAAAGTGTCAGGAAGACTGAAGAGAGCCGCTAGAATGAATTACGGGGGTTTGAAGCTATATCTGGTTATTCTTTCTGGTTTCAGTCCCACATATCCTACTCTGTAATGGAATCAAATACAATGCGCAGATGTCGTACTCTTGAAATACTATGCACATTTACCTAAGTCGATTTGGTCACGTGTGGTCACATGACCAAATGTGATCTCGCCAGTCAGGAAAGCACCTGGGAGCATCTAAATTGTACCGGAGATCTACAATGTTGTTGAAATTGGGATTTTGGCTGAAATTATATTGCATTGACCAGGAAGAAACTCCACGTAACAAGACAATGATGATCGTACATCCCATCCATAATGCAAGTAAGTCGGAATCTCTAGTTGTACTGCATATATGTTGCCGTCGAGTTGAACTTGAGGTTGCCCTTAATGACCTTCTCAACTGAGGCCAAAAAGTCCTTTTCGGTAGCCACCTTGCGGCGAGCCCGAATAGCAAACATACCTGCCTCAGTCGCAACACTGCGAAGTTCGGCACCGGTAGCATTTGGGCACAATCGCGAGATCAACTCCCAACGGATGTCTCGCTCGACTGACATGCTCTTGGCATGGATTCGGAGAATGTTGGCACGGCCTTCGACATCCGGCAGCGAGAATTCGATCTTACGATCAATACGACCGGGACGCATCAGGGCTGGGTCAAGTGTGGACGGACGGTTGGTAGCGAACATGACCTTGATGTTGCCACGAGAGTCGAATCCATCCAGCTGTGTGATCAGTTCCAGCATGGTTCGCTGCACCTCATTGTCGCCACCGGCACCATCATCGAAACGTGCACCACCAACCGCATCAATTTCGTCGAAGAAAATGATGCATGCCTTCTTGGTACGGGCCATCTCGAAAAGTTCACGGACCATCCGAGCCCCCTCACCAACGTACTTCTGCACCAGTTCACTACCAATGACACGAATGAAGGTAGCATCCGTTCGGTTGGCGACTGCACGGGCGCAAAGGGTCTTTCCGGTTCCCGGAGGTCCATAGAGCAGAGCACCCTTGGGTGGGTCGATGCCGAGATTCACGAAACGTTCTGGCGATAGCAAGGGCATCTCAACAACTTCTCGTAGCTTCTCGATTTGTTCTTTGCATCCACCAACATCGCCGTAGGTCACATCGGGTTTGTCCTCGACGGTCATCATTGTCACGCTGGGGTCGATCTTTGGCGGCAAGGGCAGCATGATCTGGTACTTATTACGTTCGACACTGCGAAGCCCAGTCAGTTACTATAAATACATTTAGTCCGCCGAATAGCTTACCCAACTCTCATGCCTTCCTCGATATCTGTCGGACTGACGCGCTCTCCTAGGTTGACAACAAACTTGGCAATCTGCTTGACGTTGATCACATATTTGCTCTTGTCTGAGTCCTTCTCATCCTGGATAATCTTTGTGCACCTCGCAACCTGTAGTGGCTGTTCCTCTGCCATGCGTTGTCGATCAGCGGCAACATCCCAAA